CGAAGTTACAGGTTAATCTAAGCCCCAACTTAATGAAGATCCGTTACCATAACGCAAGCCTATTTTTCAAACTTTCGATATTCGTGGGATTTGAACCCTAGACCTGCTACTTGGAGAGGGTGATGACTTGACCACTTCACTAAGCTGCCACACCTCAAATGGAATCTTTAGTCAATTTTTTGAATAATATAATTTCTTACAAAAAAACTATAAATACAAATAAATAGCCTAACTTATGTATAATTTGTCAGGAAAATATTTGCCCTAGTCTTAAAGAATCAATAACTATTTTAATTTGTAAACATTTTTTTCATAAGGATTGTATCGCGAAATATATCAATAATTTTGGTGTTTGCCTGCTCTGTTGAGCAGATAATATACAAGATTAATTATCAAATCATTTAGCTTAAAAAATTAAATTCTCAATGGTTTTATAATCTCTAAATAATTTGGTTTAGCAAAATAATTTATACATCTATTAACTATAGTAACTGCACTGTGCACCATGCTACACACCACACCATACATCACGCCATGCACCACACCACCCATCCCACCACGCACCACACCATACAACACGTCGCGAACCACACTGCGCATCACACCAGACATATACATCACACCACCACTGTGCACCACACCAACCATCCCACCACACACCACACCATACAACACGCTGCGAACTACACTACGCATTACACCAGACATATACATCACACTACCACTGTGCACCACACCATACAACACGCTGCGAACTACACCGCGCATCACACCAGACATATACATCACACCACCACTGTACACCACATCATCCATCCCACCGCGCACCACACCATACAACACGCCGCGAACCACATTGCGCATTACACCAGACATATACATCGCACCACCACCACCATGCACCACATCATCCATCCCATTACGCACCACACTATACAACACGCTGTGAACCACACTGTGCATCACACCAGATATATACATCGCACCACACCATGTACCACATCATCCATCCCACCGCGCACCACACCATGTACCACATCATCCATCCCACCGCGCACCACACCACCTATCCCACCACACACCACACCATACAACACATCGCGAACTACACAACACACCTCGCCTGATTTGGGATTCGAATTTTAATTTGAGTTTGTGGAGCACTAGTTTTATCGTGAGTATAATGGTTATTAATTGGAATTCTGAACCTTATAGAATATCTGAATCTTATATATATTTTTCATCGGGAATTGGTTTTATCGTGAGTATAATGGTTATTAATTAAAAGGTTTGAACCTTCATAGAATATCTGAATCTTATATATATTTTTTCATCAGATTTAAGTTTTATCGCGAGTATAATAGTTATTAATTAAAAGTTTTGAACTTTAATAGAATATCTGAATCTTACTTATATATGTATTTTTTTTTTATCTGGAATTAGTTTTTAGCATGAGTATGATGATTATTCATTGAAATGTCTGAATCTTATAGAATATGCAAATCTTACTTATATATGTATTTTTTTTCATCTGGAATTAGTTTTTAGCATGAGTATGATGATTATTCATTAAAATGTCTGAACCTTATAGAATATGCGAATCTTACTTATATATGTATTTTTTTTTCATCGAGATTTAGTTTTTAGTATGAGTATAATGATTATTCATTGAAAGTTCTAAAACTTAAAGAGTATTTGAATCTTACTTATATATGTATTTTTTTTCCATCTGGAATTAGTTTTTAGCGTGAGTGTGATGATTATTCGTTGAAAGTTTTGAACCTTATAGAGTATTTGAATCTTACTTATATATGTATTTTTTCTTTTTATTGGGAATTAGTTTTTAGTGTGAGTATGATAATTATTTGTTGAAAGTTTTGAACCTTATAGAGTATTTGAATTTTACTATGTAATTTTTTTTCATCGGGAATTGGTTTTTAGCATGAGTATGATTATTCATTGAAATATCTGAACCTTATAGAGTATTTAAATCTTACTTATATATGTATTTTTTTTTTCATCAAGATTTAGTTTTTAGCATGAGTATAATAATTATTCATTGAAATGTCTGAACCTTATAGAGTATTTGAATCTTACTTATATATGTATTTTTTTTCATCGGGAATTGGTTTTTAGCGTGAGTATGATGATTATTCGTTGAAAGGTTTGAAACTTATAGAGTATTTGAATCTTACTTATATATGTTTTTTTTTTCATCAGAAATTAGTTTTTAGTATAAGTATGATTATTTGTTGAAAGGTCTGAACCTTATAGAGTATTTGAATCTTACTTATATATGTATTTTTTTTTCATCGGGATTTAGTTTTTAGCATAAATATGATTATTATTCGTTGAAAGGTCTGAACCTTATAAAATATCTGAATCTTACTTATATATGTATTTTTTTTTCATTGGGAATTGGTTTTAAGCATAAGTATGATGATTACTTGTTGAAAGTTTTGAACCTTATAGAGTTTTTGAATCTTACTTATATATATATATTTTTTTCATTGGGATTTAGTTTTTAGCATGAGTATTATTATTTGTTGAAAGGTCTGAAACTTATAGAGTATTTGAATCTTACTTATATATGTATTTTTTTTTTATCAGGATTTAGTTTTTAGCATGAGTATGATGATTATTCGTTGAAAGTTTTGAAACTTATAGAATATCTGAATCTTACTTATATATGTATTTTTTTTCATCTGGAATTAGTTTTTAGCATGAGTATGATAATTATTCATTGAAAAATCTAAAACTTATAGAGTATTTGAATCTTACTTATATATATATATTTTTTTTTATCGGGATTTAGTTTTTAGCGTGAGTATGATGATCATTTGTTGAAAGTTCTGAACCTTATAGAATATTTGAATCTTACTTATATATATATTTTTTTTCATCGGGAATTAGTTTTTAGCGTGAGTATGATTATTTGTTGAAAGGTCTAAACCTTATAGAGTATTTGAATTTTACTTATATATATATTTTTTTTTTCATCAGAATTTAGTTTTTAGCATGAGTATAATTATTTATTATTTTTTTTTTTAAGCAATCTTGTCTTTATTTATCCGAACTACTATTCTAATGACCATACAATGTACTTACATTTTTATAGTATAATGTTCTAGTCTAATAAAAACTCACCAA